GAGGGGGCTCTGGGCTGGGGCAGAGGGTTGGAGTGCGGATGGAGGGGCTGAGGGCTCCGGCTGGGGGTGCAGGAGGGTGGCACCAAGGGGTTCGGAGAGTGGGAGGGGGATCAGGACTGGGGCAGGGGGTTGGGGCGCTGGAGGGGGTCAGGAGTGTGGGCCAATGGGAACTGCCGGGGTGGCACTTGGGGAGTGGGCAGTATGCGGAGCCCCCTGGCTGCCCCTCTGTGTAGGAGGGGGGATACGCTGCTGCTTCCACGAGCCATGCGGAGCCACGGCACACATGGAGCGGGGCAAGGCCCGGATCCTGCTCCCCGGCAGGAGCTCGAGGGCCAGATTTAAACGTTTGAAGAGCCAGATGCGGCCCCCAGGCCATAGTTTGCCCACCCCGAGTTAGATGAAGAAAGAATTATTACAAAGCTCCCTAAGAAGCACCTAATATGCATTTTACAGGTGTCCAATCCACTCTTACTGCTCTTTTTTTATTACTGTGTTTTTCATATTGTTAGCAACGTTTTTAACTTACGCATACAAGCTAAATGTGTTCTTCAAGCATTTTCTTAAGCATGATCTGTACATATTTAAAAAAATGAATAACTTTAGTTTTTCCCACTAACTAGCCCCCTGTAAGCAGGGGAAGGGCACTTCACAATATTAATCTACCTAAAAGTCAATGTCCAGCCATTTCATTTCTGTTCAGCAAACAATGCACATGAGCATTCTTACTGGAAGCCACTCTGCCAAGTCCAAAGGCTGTGGTATGACTCTGCCAAAGAGTAATACCCATGAACGTACTTGAGATCAGGAAACTTAACCTCTGGTTCTGTTTCTTAAGAGCACACCACTCTTAAAAAATATCTATGGTCTGCCAATAGCTCTTGATACAGAATTGACAGAGGTGATTACTTTTGTAAGAGAGTCTGTGTATGTGAGACTAAACGAGCGTGAGGTGTGTGAGAGATTTTGTCAAGTGCTTTGGGACATTTCACAATGGTTTTTAAGAATGACATCGCAAGAGCATTCAGGTGTGAGGTTGTTTTGTTTTGTTTTCAATAGAAGCTCATAAGATTAAGTCTCTTTATATATTATTTTGGTTTAAAAATGGAGGTTCCCTGAGCAAATAGTGAGAACTGGCAGAGTTCCCCACAGCTTTCACTGGGCAACTCAGTTCTCACATGCAGGGATACCTGGTTTCCTATTAACAATGCTGTACCAAGAGCTGGGTGGGAACTGGATTTTCCATTTTGTGGGAAATTCCATGACAATTTTTTTCCCCAGTCCAGAATGGAACAAAAAAAGATACATTTCAAAATTCAAAGAAAGAAAGATTTAAATGTTCCATTTTGTTTGACATTTAATTTTTTTAGATGTATTTTATAATATGAAATAAAAGAAATTTGTAACAAAAAAGTAATTTCAAAAGTAAAATCAAAATGTTTTATTCCAAAAATGCTTTGTGTCTTTTCCTAAATGCAAATTCACTGAAATCAACACTTATGACAAATGTTTTGCTTTTGATAAATCAGCATTTTCCAACAGAAGTTCCATCAGAATATTCCCACCCAACTCTATCTGTGCATTGTTGATACAATAATAACTGCAATGTAAATAAACCAGATCACCTAAGCAATGGGAATAAAGTTTGAAGGATAACGTTTAATGTTCAAACACATAATAAAGAAAAAATCCCTGAAAATGTTGCATTAGAATGGAAGAATTTTAGTGTTTGAAGATCTCTATACAATGAGCAATGGAACCACATTATAGCAGAGAAGTCAGAAATCAAATACAAATTGCTGCTAAACTATAGACAAATCTTTTGTTTTTTACATTTGCACTAGTAAGTCAGTGAATCCTGCAGGACTGTAAGGCAGAAAAAGTCCTGCCAACCTTGAGGGGGGACACATTTCTTCAATAAGTACAGGTTCTTCTTGTATGTCTGTGCATGAAACATTAGCAAGAATGGGCATCATCCATCAGCTGCCTGCTTCTGACAGCAACTTAATCAGATGCAGCACATATGGCTTTCCCTCAGACAATTTAATTCATTCAGGGTTATTTTGCTCTACTATACTCAGAGCTCAAATATTAATAACTACTGGTGCAGTGGCATTTAATTATAAAAGAAGAGGCTTTTTAGCTATGACTGTGCATGAGTGGTGCACGTTACATAACTATGAAAAAGATCCCAGTGAAAATGACTGCATGCCTAGCCAGGTGTTTAATCCTATTAAAAAATAAGAATAGTTACTCAGCACTTCCCATCTCCTAACTACTTTGCAAACATTAATTAATTAGTGCTCACAATGTCTGTGCAGTTGAATAAGTATACTCTCTATTTTACAAGAAGGGAAATTGAAGCAGAAAGACTGATTTACCCAAAATCAAAGTCATTTTAAGAATCAAGATTAAAAGTCAGGTGGTTTCTGGTTTCCAATTCTATGTTCAGGGGACAATGCTCCCATCTCCTTCCTTGCCCCTCCTTTAGCTATTAACTATTAAAAAGTGTTTTCCTTGGTTGAACACGAAAGGATATAAAGTACATAATCAAGCTCAGAAACCTCTGTTAAACCAGGCCATAGATCCAGACCTAACAAGGTTATATCACAAGTGTGTGTGTTAAAGAGTCAAAGGTGTGGTCTACTACTAAAGCATAGGTCGACCAAGCTACGTTGCTCAGAGTGTGCGCTGAGAGACGTAGTTAAGACAACCTATGCCCCAGTATAGCCACCACTAGGGATTTTTCTACACTGGCAGGTGAAAGACAAAACTTTTGTCATTCAGAGGTGTTAAACACCGCCCCCCTCCCCCCGAAAGACAAAAGTTTTGTTGAAGACAAGAGCTGCTGTGAACATCGCTTTGTTGGCAAGAGCGCTCTCTCCTGCCAACAAACAGCAGCTACACTGCGTGCCTTTTAGCGGCACAGCTGTGTTGCTAAAAGCTACATAGCGTAGACATAGCCTAGGTAAACGGAAAAATTCTTCCGTCAACCTGGCTATTGTCTTTCAAGGGGGTGAATTTACTACAGTGATGGAAAAACCCTTTCTGTCTACACTACAGCAGCAGAGCTGCGATTGTGCTGCTATACCACTTGTAGGGTAGACAGCCAAAATGAATTCAAGTACAATGTTTAGGGCAGATCCCTTTCAAATAAAAATGAAGTTACCTCCATACAGGTTACAACATACAGACCCTGAGTACTACTTTCCCATTGATTGTTAAGAAACACAGGACTTTTAAACACAACTACTTAGAAAACCATAAGGCCACAAGTCAAATAAGAGAGCAGAGAGCCTCTTCACCTACCACGCTGGCCATTTCTGCAGGAGGAGGAGGAGGCCTGGTGAGGGGAACAGAAAGAGTTGCCATTTATGACTTCACTTTCAAA